AGCAATGTCTGTGTGGTTCACGTAGCTACTGCAGTGGCAAAAAGAGCACAAAACCAAAAGGAAAGTGTTTGAATCACAACAGCATTTGCAGTGGGTAATAACCACGTTTGTGTGTACCCAAAGCAGTGCATTTACTCACCATTTATAAAATATTTCTTTGTCAAATTGATTACTAAGCAACTTGGGAACAGATTCAATCAGTCATACATTGCACAGTATCTTATGCAGAAGAGGTTAGATAATTTTAGCAAAACAAAGCAACCCACCAAACTCAGTGGGATTACTGGTGTCATAATCTCAATCAAGTTTTCTTAATCTCAGGATTCAATAAGCATGAGAAAAATATAGCAAGTCTTGGATGCTAACATAATCATAAAGACAGACCCCGAGCACAATCCTTGAAAATCTGGCCTTTATCAAGCTGAAAGAGACTTGGTTGTGACTTCTGTATCTTAAAGATATGTAAATATGTCCAAGTCTCAGAAAACATTGAGATTTCTTCAAAGCTGATTCTTCCTTAATGAGAAGCTAACCAGTGAATGAGGCTGGGTGGAAAGGGAAGGGGCAGTTTGTTTTGTGTGACTACTGGAGCCTCAGACATGTGTGTACATATTCTTCCTCATTTACAGCTGAGTATTTCAGCCTTTCTGCTTTTCTTTGTTCCTTTGTTATAAAAGTGTTGAGTATCCAAATACATTATTTAAGATTAGTATGAAAATTTAATCTGAAGGAGGTTTTGGTTTTGGTATCCTAGAGTTTGTTATTACTTGGAAGATTTTTGTGCTGTTGTCATCTCCTCACTTCCCTTCTTCCCTATTTTTATTGTTATTTTTTTTCTCACTCATCATCTTCCATCAGCTGCAGTTATTGTAGGTAGACTTCTGTGACAAAAGAGACTCTTCAGGAAAGAGTTCTGAAAACGGTCAGAATAATTTTACAGTAAGAAAATCTCTGGGGGATTTCCTGTTTGTCTGTTCCTATTCACACACAAACAACAGTAGAAATCATTGACAATTCGTCTATTCCTATAGTGTAGCTTTCCCTTTGCAGGTCTGGCTATGTGTACATTCATCTTCTCCCTATCTCTAAAATATACAGTGAGTGTCAGCACCAGAAGCTAACCTTTTTTTTGGAGCCAGCTAAATATATTTTTCTGGTAGAAAGTGCCTTATTCTGGTAGTCAAGCAGAATAATTAGCTACTTAGTACTATGCTCATCTGATTTTATACTGCATATAATGAAATTCTTACGACTTCAAAATTTGAATTACATGGAAACTCTGTAAGATGTGGTAACTATCCTTTCAAGTTGCAGCATGCTGACCATTCAAGAACCCATATGTGTTGCATATAATAACACAAAACATTCACAGGATAAGGATATTTGGAGAAGTATATTTTCCCAGAGGTAAAGGTTTTGAAGTCCTCAACTTGTGACACGAGACAGGTTGTTTTTCACCTCTGGATTCCTTTGTTTTAGTCAATTGAGACAATGAAAAAAAAAAAATCAGACTATGATTATCTTTATGAGAAATTTCACCATTTTTGAAGGGAGGGATGAAAGTCTTCTCTCATCTGCCTGACCCACCACTTCCTGAGAGTTTAGCTTTTAAAAATTCTTCTCTGGTTGTTGTCTCTTGCAAATCAACAGTGACCTTGGTTCTGCAGTGTTTGGCTTTTACCAGTGTAAATCTGGAGCATCTTCATTAATGTTAGCAAAAAAATTCATATCCTGGAACCAAAAGGGAGGTTTTACGTCTTTCTACACAATCATTAAAAGATCCCATAAAAAGTAGTTTTGTAACTACAATCCAGCCCACTGAATCATATAAAGAATACTGATAAAATTAAAGCAGAGTATTACAGAATAATCTGACAAGAATAATTCTGAGACTTTTAGCTGGTGTATACTGCACCAGCATTATTAATTTCCGATCAGCTAGCAAAGTACCTCACCCAGGTATACCTAAGCAAGTGACTTTCATTTAATTTGCTTTCTGAAGGACATGACAGCATCTGTACATTTTGAGATGTAATTGCTGTTATCCTTCAGTTTTTTGAAACAAACACAATCATCCTCCTGAATTACTGACTTTCCGTGACAATTTTTTGAGGTTGTGTTTTTTTAAACTAATATCTTTCAGACAGATCCTGAATAATGTAAGAGGATAAAGCCCACATGAAAAAAGTCAAGAATTCAGAAATAAAATTTTAGCTGTCAAACTTTAACTTAGTTGTTCTTTATTCCCTTAATATTCTTCAAACAAAATCCATTTCACTCTAGTTCATAAAGAACATTACCCTAGAGGACATAATACCTCTGACTTTTGTTTTAGGTTGATTTTTAAGTTGGAACATTGGACATTTAAAAAATCCACATTCTAAGCTGTTATTATGAGGAACTGCTGCCAAACATGTGCTCCCATCTTTTTTTTTTTTTTTTTTTTTTAACTGCCTGTGTGAAAGGAAATAATTTCACATCCAACCCTCAGGATGGATGTACAAGGGTAAAGCAGCCTTTCTCTGTGGGATTTAGAATGGAAAGACAAGTTTCATGGAGGAGATCTTACCACTGCTCTGATTTAGAAAAGTACCCAGACAACCATATACAAAATACAACATCAGTTCCTCTGGAAATAAATCTGTGTGTCATTTATTTGTATATAAATGTGTCTCAGAATTCCTGGTAATATGACAGAGCATGCTTCAAGATTTAATTACTTTTAGGGAAGCTTGAGCAATACTACACTTGCTGTAGAAATGCTGTAGAGATGGCTTAGAAGGCCAAAGTAATGATCCTACACACAACACTTAAGGCAAAGGCTGAAGTAGTGTGGTCAGTTCTGGCTTCTCTCCTGATTGTCAGTACATAGCATATTTCTATCTGTGAACAAGCTTTGGGATTTCATGGCAATTTAAATGGTGGGGGTCAGAGAGGAAAGACCATTAAAACTACTTATCCCACAATTTATTAGCAAGTTTTTAATGCTGAGCCAGAGTTAACACCTAATTACTTCTAATTCCTTCACTACTGTTCTGAAAGTATCCCAGTCATGCAACTGGCTGAGCTCAGCCCAGGGGAAATGCCAGACCTCTCACACTGGTGTATTTCATTGAATGTAATCCCAATTCCTAAAATGCTCAAGGGATAGTGTATGAACTAAAAACACCTCAGAGCACTTGGCTCCCTTCTGTCACTTCTGTTGAGTCTGCCACATCCAGACTGCCTTCAGATGGGTAGTTGTGAGCACAAGGATGCCAAAGAGAGAGATATGCCAAGGTATCTGTGTGGAAGTACTGTCACTGGCAGTAAAACCAGGAAAGGTTTTACTTACTATTATTGTACTTCTGAAAATTAGGGAAGCAAATAGTTGAAAGCACCCGTAGATCACAGATGAGACTGGAAATACTCACCTTCATCTGATTTACTTTGGGACCAAAGGCTATATAAGAGTTAAGACCTCAGGTTCAGTGTTAGTACAACCCTCTTGAGCTATCTTGTCTGAGATAACCCCAATTCTTCCCTACTCCAACTCTAATTTTTATGTTTGCATTTCCTTTGTTTGTAGAACTTAATGACTTTTGGAGCACAATATGTAGCAGGCAGTTTTAGGAAAATATATACAGTTTGTGTGTATATATTACAGCTGTACCAAAACAATAAAATATAACAGAAGCTCCCCTGAAAATATCTGTGTCTCTGTATGTCAATAATCTGCATACAAAAAAGCCCCAAAGCACCCAAAGCATGATAGATTGGGCATTAAGTGATGCATATGTAGTCCTTAAGACAATACAGGGAAGCTTTGGAAACATTATTTTCTACTCTAAGAAAAAGTTCAGCAAGCAAGGACACATCTCTTGCAGACTTTTAAATCTATTATCTAAATCATTTAAAAAATCAGATTTGATGCAATTTAGTTGAAGCTCAGATTAATGCAGGTTTAACTGACCACATGCAAGAAAAGCTTCTTATAAACCAATTCCCTTAATTGTCTAAAAAAGGATTGTTTAATTATTAAGCTAATACAGTTTTATTTCTGCATGAAATGGATCCAAATCCATCAGTGTGGGTAAAACATTTTAAGTGGTGTCTCAAAATTTAGAGACTGAAGTTGAGAGAGACTTTTCTGCTTTCTAAGTTCAGTTTCACTGACTATGAGTGAATGGAGAATGAGACTTCAGTGACTCCACAGCCTACCCTGGTGTTTGGAATCGCACTACCTATGGGTACAGTCAGAGCTGTTCTTGCACAATGTGAATGTAGCACGACACATGTAGTGCAAGAATACCTAACTCTAAGAACATAGGACCACTGGACCAGAGCTCTCCTCTTTCTGCCCAGGACTTCTAAGATGGGCAGGGCTGAGCATCAGTATGGATGAGGTAGCTGCTGGTCCATTAAAAAATAACCATGTAATTGGAGGGAGCGTCTATGAACGGCATTAACTAGCATCCTTAGTTTTGGATTCTATACTAAGAAGAATTATTTGATTATTAGCAGGATAAAAATTAGGACTGTGATTTCAAGAGGAGAGGTAACTCATCCATCCCTTGCACATGTCTATCAACAGAAGCTGACAGTCAGGATCATCTCCTAATGAAATGTTAATATAGTTATCCTCTTAAGTTATGATAAAGGGTGACTGCTGGGCAATTGCAATTTGCGAATGTCACATGATGAATCTGTGGGAAAAAAATTAGAGTTTTCTATGGGTTTTACAATATTGACTTTAAAAGCAAAAGACCTTTACTCTTCAGGAAGCAGCATCCTAGAACCATCATTAGGTATGTTTTTATGGTTTATCAGGCCTTTTAGATGTTTTAAGCTGAATGCCCATAAGGATTGAGTAATACAAGGTGGAATTTCCCCGCCTGTGTGGTCAGAAGGCAAAACCTTCACTTGGTTTCCCCTTGCAGTGAAACAGAGAATGCACATGCTGATTTTAGACCTTTAGGGGTTTGTATGTAGCGTCTAGGGGTTTGTATGTAGCGTCCTACCTGCAGTGGATTTGGTGAAGTAAGAGGAGATGGAAGGCCATGCCCTGGTGACTGGCTGGGTTTCTGAGGGGAGCTGGAGGACTGTGAGGCTGGAGGTGGTTGGCTCTGGCTCTGGGACTGTGTTTGGGTCTGCTGTGGTGGTGCTGATGGCTGTGGCTGTGATTGCTGAGTCTGCTGGGTTGGCTGTGGAGTCTGTGCCTGCTGAGCTTGCTGCTGCTGCTGCTGGCTTTGCTGCTGCTGCTGCTGCTGCTGCTGCTGTTGATGATGCTGGAGCTGCTGAAGATGCTGAAGCTGTTGAAGCTGGGAGTTCAGGGATGAGGTAGCTGTGAATTGAAGAGAGGGAAGGGAGTTATACAAGTTTCAGTAATACCTACTATGTTAAAGGTATTCTGGATAAAATTCTGGTTCTGTTACATTGAGGGGCACACTGGTTTCTGAGGACAGCCGGCCCTAGATTTCAGGATGTGGGAAGAAATTGTCTCAGTCAATAGTAGCCTGTGGTTCTGCCTGTATAATTCTGTGATAAAGAGCCAGACTTCCCTGGAGGCAATGAAAGCAAACCTTTGAAAGGGCTAGGGGATGCCCCTAGGATCCCCACAGGATGGGGCTCAGAGCTGACCAGGATTCATTGCTCAGACAAGATTACCAGTGAAGAAAATGGGAATTTTATCTGCCTAGAGAAGAGAGGAACAGATTGTCACTGTACTTGTAAGTATAGCAAGATCTCATAACATGAACCAGTGCTTTTATATAAAGGAGGAGAGAGCCATAGTCATAAAATAAAGGATACTCTGAAAAGAACTTTGTCGTGTCATTATGCAGTAGGTATCAGGAAATAAAACATTCAGCTGTGAAATTTCTTGTGCAATGCCTAGGGAGCAAAAAATACCTAATAAAATGTGTGTGTCTCTGAAATAAGAACTGCTCCTTATAATTCACATCTAAAAGCTATAAATTCCTTCTTGTAACTTGCACTGCTCACTTGCTCCTGATAGTTAAGGTCTGTTGTGTTTGCTAGCATATGCTTCAAACGTGATGTTTGGAAGTGCGTGGCTTACATCAACCTGCTGGTACAAAGGAGCAAACTTTATTTCCCAGAGACACTTTCAAACTGACTAGGACATTCATTAAATTCAGGAACACAGGAAGTGTGTCATAGGGATGTCACTAAAGAACAGCTTTAAGCAGCAGCAAGAGCATCACAGAAGACTGATGCTTTCTGTGATTGTGTCCAGAATAAGTCACCTCTGTCTCCAGCCATACCCATGTTAATCAACGTCTTAGGAGTTGAATTAGTTAGCTATAAGATCCCAAGGGAAACAGCTTGCAAGGTCATTATGATATTTTTCGCTCTGTATACTGCTTTGCCAGCACCACCCTGTATTATAATTTCCATCCACAAAAGCAAAAGTAAACCGGGAATGAATTAAATTTGTTATTTTTAAAATGGCACTCAGATTTAACGGCCAGAAACTCTGTTGACCAAGTTATTTGTGGACTGGCAGATAAAGCCAAGTTATCTCCACTTTCTTTTCATGCTGATGTCCCTATTTCAGCTTTCTAGATGTCTATGCCTGAGGCTGAACCTCAGGTCTTGGTGCGACTTCTGAAATCAATGAGCCATAAACTGGAATAAGAAAAAGAAAAAGAAAAGAAAATGGAGAAAGATGAGGCAGAAAGGGTAAGCCAGAAAAGGATGTAAGAGGGAAAGTATAAGACTTGATAAGAAGAGCTGTTGGCTCTCAATTCCCATGCTCATAGCTGCTCTAAATTTTCTTTCAAAGATGCAGGAATCAAACTAGAAATACGCCTTAACAAGAATTATACCCACGTGTATGTGACTTCAACAAAGAATCCTAATAACACAAAGGAGGACTGATAACACCAATATGTTTCTATCAAGAAAGCTACTCAAAGAAATTTTGTGTTTTAACACAAAGCAGAGTAACAGTCAAATTAAGAACATACATAGTATCTCATGCACAAGAGTATCACCCTAGAGAAGTAAGGGAACACTCCCATCAGTTCCCTAATGAGAATTCATACCTAAATGTCCCAAAGTCAACAGGGCAGTGAGTGGCAATATAATCCAAGGCATATTAGAACAAAGAAGATGTGTATACAAGAAAGCAAGTGCACAGATGAATTAATGATTCATAGCATGAATCATCTCAGATGGCAAGGAAAACCATTCACCAATTCTATCTGTAGGGATGTACGTAGAGGCAGAAAGATCGGTACCATTCCCATGAGGAAAAAAGAAATCTAGACCAGCTCCTTCTATAGTGTGGGCTATTTCTTCACCTGTGATAGCTTAGCAGACTGCATGATCCACTGATAACCAGAACCAAGACTTCAAACTGACCCTTACTGCATCCACAGACTCCAATACAGAAATTAATTAAATGACATCCCACAGAAGCATAACTTCTAATCCACATGGCTCATGGGGAGGAATGAGGGGCTGTTTTATGTTGTATGTACACAATTGGACAGGAGGAGACAAAACCTTCTCTAGGACTAGAAAAGCTTTGCTTTCAGTACTGCTCAGTGTCTCACTACAACTTAAATGTTGGTGAATTCAGGAAGATTGATATCTCTACCATTCACTTCTGTACTGGAAATGAAAACATTTTTTCCTGGGGTAGAAGATATTCCCTGAAGGATAATCTGATTAATGGAGAGTAGTTACTTCATGGAAAAATTTCTGAGTTTATTGCTAGCAACTGCAGAAAATTATTCAAGTAACTTGTGTTTTCAAGTAATTCCTTTAAAAAGCCCCTCTGAAGCCCATCATCATGCTGAGCTATAAATTGCATTGAAGTGTCTTAGAGAGGTATGATTGTTTAACATGCTGTTGCTAAACAAACAGATAGGGAATTGGAAGAAGGACTGTTAGATCAGACAAGGTGTTCTGAAAACCACACAGTAGGTGTACAGTTAAGGTGGGTTTACTCTAGCATTTGTCACTTTCTGCAGAGCTCGGAGCCTGATGGAATTTCAGGTGGTACAACAGTGCTATGTCTGCATGTATAAAAGATAACATGCACTGCCTACCTCACAGGAATCTTTTTTATGATTTACTGGCTAACAGCTGGGTAAAACTTTGACATATTTTAGTAAAAAGTGCTACTTTCACAATTGCATTCAAGAATTAAAAAGGCTTGCAAAGAATTGCAGAAAGTTCTCTCTATGGTTAAAAAGGTCAACACAAAGTACATCGCTTTAAAAGAGACACACAACTTAAAATGTATGCCAGCTATGAAAAACTGAGGAAAATCCACAAAAGCTGTGTGACATTTCAACTCTCCCTAAAAAATACATGTTGAATATATGCCAGGTATCCAAGAAGATGGCAAATATAACTAATATCTATGAAGAAACAATGGCGTGAGGGGTTTTAAACCCTATGGTTCAACAGGCATCTCTTTCCATAAGATCACCCCACGGTTTATGATCCTACTTTAAGCAGATTATACTTACTCATAGTGTCAAAGCATTTACATTAGAATACAAGGCATGGAGTTAAGTGGTGCAAATCAATGGTCAAGAGGCAGTGAAAGCAAACTTTCTGATCTCCTAGGTCATCTCCTGCAATACTTGTCACAGATCTCAGGCTACTTTGTGGATTAGAGAAAGTTATGACCTAAGGTACATACTCCTCCTTGATTTTCTTTGGGGGTACCTTAGGCATAGTGTTGCCATGCATTTACAATATTCACACAAAATATGTCATTTCATATTCTATTCCTCTGCTGGTTACTTGCACAGGAAACTGAAATGAAATGAAAATGCCCTTCTGCCAAGTAGAGTGTTACAATGGGGAAAATTCACCTCTGAGGCAGCCATGCTGAAAGAAGCAGTCTGATCCATGACAGGGGGATGACTGAAGCTTTGTCATAGTGGGCAAACTGAAGAGGCTTTATTTCCCAAGCCTGATTAACAGAAAATAGTAGCAATTGTCTGATGCCCCTGACTAACATATTGTGACATAAGTAGGGGAATATCCCTGGTTATGCTTTATGTTAAAACATACATTTTAATGTTTAATCGTGATTCTCCAAAAAGCAAGGAAGATAACTATGCTCACAAATGTTTATATAATGAAAACAATTTAAAATTAGGACTCCTTTTTCACCTTTCCTTCACAATGTAAACTCAGATTCTTAAGACCTCTACAGTGCTTGGCAGAAGATCAAATTAATATTCAGGGATTCAAATTGTATCTAGAATCTGCTCTTGTGGATAAGCTTCACATAATGTCTGATTTATTTTATTAATGTTTTGTGCATGTTTGTTTCTGTGTAAAGAGGAAGGAGGGGTAGGAGGAATAAGACACAATTTTAGCTTACAAACCATTGTGCTACTCTAGCTTCTCTCCTCCTATTTACGTAATTGCACAGTTGTTCTTCAGTGCCTTGATACAATGTACAATGGACTAAAAAGAAGAAAATCATACATTAAACCTTTTCCTATTTGACTGAGCACAGAATTTGACTCTTGCCATTTCAAGGGCTTAATGCCTTTTTCCACTTCCCCAGTAATGGAGAATGGATTTGCATTGCCTTAAACTGAAAAGTGTAACTAACTTAAGCATCTGGGCTTGAGTTTGAGCTGACATGGCTCGCTTTTTTTTCCACCCTGTTGTTTCTCTTTTAATGAGGCTTATGCCTTTCTTTTCTTTGAAACAGATTTCTAAAGATTGAATACACACACTGAACAATCTAATGCAAGCCCGTGTTTACATTCTCTCCCTCCTGGGTAATGAGGGGTAGGTTAGCCAAATACCCGTGTTTTTCCATATGCTCAGATTTTCTTTTTGAGAGTGAAATGCGAGTTCTGTTAAATATGTTAGCATCCTCTTTGTGAAAAAAAAAATCCCTGAAGGGCTGGACTTGTGGCTGAAGAGATTAGTAATGGGATACAGAGCATGTTATTTCTAAACCACTGGTTCAAACTCAGCCTAGGTCAATATAGGGAACAAAAGTCATTGCACTTTAATGGTGCTTTTGCATGTTTTCTACCATACAGAATATGTATAAATGTATAGAAGTCATATTCACACAC